GAAAAATACTAAACTTATATAGCTATATTATATTCAATATCAAAAAAGTAGTAAAATTCTTTTTTTTATAAGCATGTAACTGTCGGAAAAATTCAGGGCAAATTTGCCCAGAATTGACAGACGGTTTAAGAGATAGTCTCTTGCAGTATAGGTGATGTTACAAATAAAAATATATTATTAATCAATTGATTTAGATATTACCCATGCTGCGAAAGATTGGAGTTTATTAAAAGTAATTCGTTTTTTTCTATTATTTTTTCATATATTGTACAAAAAAAGTTTTCTAAATAAAATTTGTTTGAATCAACTTTTTGGTTATATAATGTAGTAAGAGGTAATTTGGAGAAGTTAAAATAACAAATTTAAAGCTTTTTTATTTTAATATTAAAAAAATTTTTTTGTTTTAAACTTTATACATAATTTAGAATTTTTTTATATAAAATTAATAATATAATACCTTGTTTTAAATAGCATTAAATGGACAAGATATCATCGATCATATACTGCACAAAAATAATCCTTGAGGGAAATTTTGATGAAGTGAAAATTTGAAAAATAATCTATATCTTGTGAACCAGTGATCAGCTTTTTACTATTCGATTCGTCTCACCGAGACGAATCAAATGGTATAAAAGTTTTTCGATCCCAATCATTAGACCATGAGATATCCAGATACCTCTTTCTACCTTATATTTAGAAAATAATAAAAAAATTTTTATTTAAAAAATTAAATATATATTTAAATTAGAGTTTAAAAATATATTTGTAGAGATAATATATTTAAAGTAATACTCAGCAAATTCAAGTAAAATCTTGACAATCAAATACTCAAAATTAAATTAGATATCAAATAATATAGATTAAATTAATTATATATATCTATAATAATAGTCACTATTACAGTATTATCATTTAATATGGGTAATTATTTTTGAACCCGGGCCAATTTTATATATGACGTAATAACATTTTGGTCTGGATCCAAAAATAATTACCCATATATATATGTATATATGAGTGCTGTCAATAGAAAACCTGTCATCGGGCTTTCAATTATATTTCGTGTGCCTGATATATGTATGTCCGGCACAATATATAATTGAATATCCGATAGTAGATTGTCCATAGACGGCATGTAGAAAGCCAACTGTACATTGAAAGACCGATGACAGGTTTTCTATTAACAGCACTCATATATTAACTGATATAATTTATAATTATTTAATACAGTATCTAACTTAATTACAAGAATTTGATTTTCGAGTTTTTGCTTGATTTTGTCAAATACTAATTTAAAGAAACTATATTTAAGAAGATTTTTCTTATATTTAGGCTATACAAACTTATATTTTCGGTTTTCATATAATCAACTGGCTTTTCGTGACCTGCTGACCCGGGTTTTAATTTTTTTTTAATAAAAAAAATTTTATTTATGAATTTTATCGTCTCAACTCGGATACCCGGTAAAAAATTTTATATATAAAAACTTTTTAATAAGGCTATACAAACTTATATTATCGGTTTTCATATCACCAGCTAACCTTTAGTGACCCAGTGACGGATTTTTTTTTTTTTTAAAAAAAAAAACTTTTTTTAATAAAAAATTTTATTTAAAACTTTTATTGGCAATTAACCCGAATATTGGTAAAAAAAATTTGGGGAATTGCTATTGCCACCCTCTATTTTTGCTCACATACATCAGGAAATTTTGAAACCTGATTATGATTGGTTGCAAACAATTAATTGATTATGATCGATTAGCTTCAAGCGATTATAATCGACGGTGATGTTGATAATCGATTCATATCAAAATTGATAATAACGATATAAATCTATATATCAATTGATTATAATCGATATCTTTCTATATATATCAATCATAATCGATGAAAATCCTATCGATTTTAATCGACGGTGGTGATGAGAATTGTTCAAAATCCTTAGATTTTAATTGATAATAATCTAGTTTTAAAATTTCCTGATGTAATCGGATTTTCCTCCAACATTCCTAACTCTAATTATTGATTAAAGTTAGATTATGTGAGAGAGTGGCATTAACAAAAATAAGGGTGGCAATAGCAATACCCAAAAATTTATATGCTAAAATAATGATGTACGAACAGATTCGTATTTTTACTGGGCATGAAAGGTGATCTACTGTATCATTTCACAAAATTAAAGCATTTTACATAGTCTAAATAAAATTCAAGTACGTAGCTGCGCAACGTAATCGTGCTTAACCAAAAACGTAGTACGATCGCTAGACTCGTATTAAGGATCCAACTGTAGTAACAAACTTTCTAATATTTGTAAAAATATTACCCAATTTAAGGTTGCCGGCCGTAAGTAATAATTATGGACATCACAACTGGTTCGTAACCTAATTACAACTAACGTCCAAAGTTGTAAAATGTCATATTGCTACAAGTGCCGTAATGGCGTAATTGCCGCAATGGTTGTAATTGCTGTAATAGTTGTGATTACTGTAATATATAGGTTGTAATTGTTGTAATAAATTGCAAATGTGATAATTGAATTATTGGTGCACTATCACTGTTTTTGATTTACTTGGGTATAGATCAATTCATGATGCAAAAAAAAATTTCGTGAGCCCCGTGAGTAAAGATTGGATTTGGATAGGCATTACCCGGGTCACCCGCGGGTGGGTCTGCAATTATACCAACCCGGGTAACGGGCCGACCTGCAGGTTAAACCTGCAGATTAACCCGCGGGTTAAACCCGTAATCAACCCGTGGGTTAAACCCATGAATCAATCCGTAGAATTGAATGTTTGGTGAATATGAAGAATCATTTATATATTTAAATATCATTAAAATTAGAACAAACAATGCAATAGCATTAACCGTGGATTGACTTATCTACATATAAACAGATATGAAGAGTCATTTGCTGACTTAAATAAATCACTGAAAATCGATCCAAATAACATAAATTTTAATAACCACGTAGATGAATGTTTGGTAAATATGACAAAGAATTACAAAATAAGGTATTAAAAATTAACCAAACAATGCAATACATTAATAATGGATTAAATTATCTAAGGATGGGTAAATATGTACCACTTGCAGATTTAAAAATAATACAACAGCATTTAAGTAATTGTGGATTAACTTACCAAAGGGCAGGCAAATATGAAAAAAAACCACTTACTGATTTAAATAAATGGTTAGAAATAGAACCAAGTAATGTAGTGTTATCGTGCAAACACTTATTCATATATTTTTTCTTTCTTTAGGATAAAATTTAGGGTCGGAATATGCCGGAATTGATAAATTTTTCCTAAAATCACTCAATGAAATGGTAACCCATGTACTAAGTAAAGCTGCCCAGATGATAATTTTGCTGTAATATAGTTGGCTTGTATTTTTATTTAATGCCGACCTAGCTCCAGGCCTATTTCGATCCTAAATTTTGGTCGATCTGCTGAATTTTGGTTGCACCATCTATCCATTTCTTTACATTATTATGTAAGTACAACAATCCCGTATTTACAACTTGTAAAGTACAGAAGCATAAACATAAATTCCACGATAACGTTGATATTGGATCATGGTATTAACTTATCAGTTTGGTAATATTAAGAATTATTTGCAGACTTAAATAAGAAATTAAAAATCGAACCAAATGATATAACAGTACTAAATAATGGTACTAAATAATCGTGAAGACATATATCAAATATAATATACGGTAATAAGCATATTACACGACTTGTTTAAAAATGTGGATCAAATTTAGTATAAGGCATTCCTACTCTAAATCAATCGATTAGTAATCAATTTTATTAGCGGGGTCCCTATATTAAATTTGATTCAAAAATGTAACTCGAGATGAAATTCCAAAAAATCCATGTGTTATGGAAAGTACTTGAGAACTCGAATTATAGATCTACTAATATCCAAGTGTTCAGCAATTTTTCGAGCTGATAAGCTTTCTATTTTTTTTCAATCGAAGATGCTTTATAGGTATGTACATTTCGGTATGTGCTAAAGTCTATAATATATACTATATCGGCGGATCTACGCATAGGGTTGTTTTTACTATGAATGTTATAATAATCGTCTACGTTTAATATTAGTACATTGCCATACATTGCCGTAATATTTCGCCAAACTTTTATCTATATATTATGATTTCTGTAATCTTTTTTTTTGCCAGACTATTTATGTTGTTGATGTAATACCAAGCTAAACCAAAATATTAATTACTGAATCCCCTGTATCTTTTGAATCTAAAAAAAAATGCCAAATCTCACTTTAAATTTACAATAAGCTTGTTATGTAAGCCACAAAGAAAGTAACAAACAAAGAGCAACTGTGGCATAATTTTATGCCTTTTTTTGTGTTAAATTTACTGACAATAAGAGCTCACAAAAAAAGATTTTAAAGAACTATTCTCTGCTTCTATATGTGCACGAAATTCATAGAACTTCTTAAATGCTGATAATTTTTTTACCACCTCATGTTGATATAAGATATCCGTTGTAACCTTTATTGCATTTGAAAAAAATATCACCTCTAACTCTAATGCTGTAATGGTCATCTCGAATTAACTTCTGTGCTGGCTCCTCTATTGAATCTAAAGACTGAATACTATCTATACAATCTATGAGCCGTGCATGCTTTTTTATACTATCTGAAAGCCAAACAACCATTTTATTGTAGCATAGCTGGCAAACTGCATCATCAATTTTTAAGTAACCTGGTAAAGTGCAATTTTCTTGAGCTTTATTCCAAAACCATCCTGTTACGCCTCTTATAGGTTGTCCTGGTGCTTTAGCACATTTAGTTATTACGCATTGTCGTTTCTCCATAGTACTAATTTCAAAACTATTGCCTCTAAGTATGTCAGAACTGTGATTCTTTTTGATTCTTTTTGTAATAAGCTTTTCGAAGGTATTCTAATCTATTTTAACGTAATTTTTTATGATGTACTAAAAAATTTTAGATTTTTAAAAGTACTTTAAACTGTATAAATTCAATTGTAGGTAATTGACCAATCAGAAGAAAGTTAGCCTATAACGACTAAACTGATTCTAATCCCTACGGCAGGTCACCCCGGGTTGAATTTTTTTTTTGGGCGGGTCCAATCTCTTCATGATTACAATATCAGATATAGGTAATTATGCAGAACTCATTTCATAGCACTTGTTTGACATTTTTATTGTCTTTAAGCTTTTTTTGCTTGTACAAATTTGTGAGTTTCAGAGCTGGAGATTAAAGCAAATATATGAATAACTATAATGTATTGACGAGGTGTTTATTAAATGTCAGCTGATGTTGAAATTTGGATCTATTTTGATATGAAAATTTAAAACTTTTGGCATGCTTTTCCGCTTTGTATTTTTTTTTTTTTAGTTAAATTAGGATTTAGGGTTAGAATTGATAATCAATAAAGCATTCATATTTTCAAATCCAAATTTCAGCATCAGCCAATTTCGCATCAGCTACTTTAAATGAGTCTGTATATCGAATTTAATATTACCTATATTGTTTTGGTGTAACAATTGACAATTTTTTGGTTGTTTTCTTTGCTTATAAGAATTATTTTTTAATTTCACATCATCTGACTTGCATATATTTATTCCAGTTTTTAAATTTATTTCAAACACTATCAGCAACAGGTCGTCTTTCTGGATCCGAATTCATGCACTGTTGAGCAAATTTAATATATCAATTCGGAGTTCCATGTGCAAACTCTTGCCGCAATCATTGCAAATTTTGATTGCAAGTTTTGCTCGAATTCATAGCAATCAAAATAGGGATGTTATCCTGCTTGCCGAACTCAGTTCGACCCCTGTTTGAGCCCGAACCCAACGGAACTCGAGTTTTTGCGGCCACATGATTTTATTATTATATTTTAAACTCCTCATGCTCCAACGAGTTTGAAATCGATTAGATGAGCAAAATGTTCGATTTTAATTAACTTTAGGCTTTTAATTACTATCATTATGACGAACAAAACTTAATTCGAGTAGATTAGAGGGTCCACCAAAATTCAGCAAATCAGCCCGAATTTGGGTCGGAATAGGCCGGAATTAATAAATTTTTTCTAAAATCACCCAAAGTTTTACTAAGTAAAGCTGCCCAAATGATAATTTTGCTATTATAGTCGGCCGGTATTATTGCTTAATGCCACTTTGCTCCGGCCCATCCCTGACCCCAAATTCGGGCCGATTTGCTGAATTTTGGTGGACCCACTAATCTATTCCTTAATTCTAGTTGACGTAAGTCAACAGATCGAAAAGGGCTAAGCAGGGGTCGCCGGCGTGATACTGCGATCCGGTTCAAGCCAGTGCGAACCAGGTTACGGGCAAGAACTTAATTAAAACCTTAATATCGCATGATGGGGCATATGAATTCAGATGAGTAGAACGTAATTAACTGCTTATTTAGATGCGGCAATGACTAA